CCTCCCCCAGGGTATGCCAGAGCAATGGGCTCGGTTACTGCAGACATCAAACATCACCAAATTGGAGCAGAAGAAAAATCCCCAAGCCGTGCTCGATGTGCTGGAATTTTACAACTGGTGAAAGTCAAAGGGAGGCTTAGAGAGGAGAACCGTGGAGCGAGCAAGAGCAGAAAATTAGTGAGTGGGAAAAGATACCTCACTGCCCCATGCTTCGTGCTTTATTGCTTTGGGGCTGGAAGTTTCGACATCTGCAACTCTGGCCACACCACACTGTGCTGTGTGAGCCCCTGCCCAGTCCCCTGAATACACCCCACCTGGATTACCACTCTCCGGAGATTCAGATTCCTTCCAAAGGATGCCAGGAGGAGAGTGGGTCCCACAGCCCACAGGTGTCGTAGGCCCCAAAACTGACCGCAGAGGCAGGCCCAGCCAGCATCTGCCCACACAGCCCCAGGGACACAGGACAAGGGAGCACAGAGCTGAAGTGGGATTCTCCCCTGGGGTAAACCCGTGCTGCCTCGGGGGGCTGCCCAGGTGCAAACAAAGACAGAGCGCAGCCCGTCTCACGCAGGAGACACACTCCACAGGCATAACCACTGTATAACATGCTCCACTTCTGTAAACCATAGCAGGGAGCCCCAAATCTCCATGCTTTAAACTGCCAGGCCCTGACCATAATCCCTGCCAAGCCCAGAGGGAGCAGAGCGAAACTCAGCTGGAAGGAGGGCCTGGTAGTTCATTTCTTTTGTCTCCCCTTATCAGACTTCCTAGAAAATGGAAGCGGCATTCCCATCATAGCCATGATCTACAGACCCGGCTGCTGTGAGTGTAGCCTCCAAGGGTAGGCCAGGCCGATCCGTTAAGGGGTCTTGAATTGCACCAGGAAAGCCCCAAGAGCTACGGAGTTCCTAGGGCAAGTCGTACATGCACGCACGTGTGCCAGTGCGCACACCCACGCATACAGACAAGGGCCAATGCTGGTTTCCCAGGTGGCATCTCACCATGGTGACATGAAGATTGTCGACCCCTCCCTCGTATTGCTGCAGGAGACAGGGGAGCCTCTCAAAAACAGTACTGCGATGCCTCTCATGGTGGAGAAGGAGGCCCATTGCGGGTCCCAGCGCCTTGACCGCAGCCTGCTGCAGCTGCAGAGAAGAAAGGCAGGACTGAGTCCCTCCGGCAGACTTTCCAGGAGGTTGCTCTGGGTCAGGAAGAGGCACAGCTTTTCTCCTTCTCATATCAGCAGTGTCCTTGGTCCATCACTGGACCAGCCCCATCTGCATGGTTCCCACCTACGGCAGCTGCGAGGGGCCGTGGGATACGGCCCTGAGGCTGGCTCCCCGCTGTGCTGATGTGCCCAGATTCATGTGCAGAGAGAGCAAACTCCTTGTTGCCATCCCCCTGGGCCCCGAAGGAGCCATGCCCAGAAGGAGCTCCCAGTGCCCACTGGCACCCATTAGTGCACGCAACTGCACACTGCCTGTGGGCAGAGCAGATTCTCAGACACGTGATATGAGCCCCGGAGACTGGGTCTTCCCTGCCAGCACTGCACACATAGGCAGAAACAGTGAAACGTGACAGCTGTGCTATGGAGCTAGAAAGAGCAGCCCTCACCTCCAGGTCCTCGCTTGTCAGCCAGCTGCTGCTCATGAGATTAAAGAAAGGGAGCACATGAAAACCGTAGTCGGCTGCCCGGCAGCTAGGGAACGGGCTCTCGTCCCTGATGTGGAATTTCAGGTTGGCAGCCTGGGCAAAGCCTTCCACAACTGCAGAGGGGGAGAAAAGACAAGACGTTTGCACAGGAACATCGGAGGGAGGTGCTGCAGGACATGCATGCCTGGTGGCCATGACAGTGTCCCAGCAGCCTCTGTGCTGCTCGGGGCAGATGGAGAATTTGGGACAGGTGGAGCATGGACCAGGGGCTACAACTAGGATTCAATCTGCACCATCTGCCCCAGGGCCTAGAGGCAGCTCCAGCCTCGGTGATGGCTCCTGGGAACTACTCTGCAAGAGTCATGAAGGGCCAATCCTGCTCACTGCTCAGAGCCTCCAGCCAGCCCGGGGAGGGACGGTTCTCCACTCGTGGTTGGATCAGGCCCAGGAAGTGCAGCGGAGGCCCCCTTACTAGTGCGGGACACTCCAGTAGGGCCCAAGCTCCGTGTTAGGCCCTGGGTGCCCAGTGGGGGCACTTGCAGGAGGGGCTGGCACTCACCTCCACACAGCGCCCGCTTCATCTGGTCGGTCTCCACCAGCCTCAGCACAAAACGCAATTTGCTGAGCGTCAGCACAAGGAAGGGCTCAGACCTCAGTGCTGCAGGATGAGGATACATTATGCAGTTAGTGACATTCCTGTCCACCTGCATCCCTCCCTCTCAGGGGGAGCAGCACAAAGGGGCTGTGAAGATGTCAGAGGAACCCCACAGTGACCGCCCCTACGTAGGGCAATCTTCTGTCTGCTGCCCTCCCATGCCCAGATGCAGGGCAGGAGGAGGGAGTGGAGGGTCCTGCCCACCTCATCTCCACTCCTTCCTGTCCTGAAGGCCCTTCCAGCTGTTACAGAAGTTAGTGCTGGCGCCTTAGAGCCAGGAGCCAGATTCTTCGGGCCCCAAATCCAGCTCAGTTGTGATGGCCCCATTGGACAGAGTGGTATTTATCCCCTCCCTCCACAATCCCTGATGAGAGCCCGGAAGCAAGGGAGGCAATGCTGTACCATAGGCTGAGGCCACGTCGCCCAGTGTAATCAAGAAGTAAATTGGAGGGAGCTCCATGATGCCCATGTGACACTGCAGCTCATACATCACCCAATTGTAAAAGGTGCCGGCAAGTGCCACGAGGGTTTTTCCTGCACCAAATGCACTTCATCATTTTCTTGCTAGAATAAAAAAAGAAAACTGGATCACACGCCGATGCACCGTTTAGACAGTGGTAAGTCAGGCTGGGGATAACTCTGAAAGGGAGGGAGAAGGATGCACTAGCCTCAGCTCCTCCAGTGGCCCAGTGCCATTTCATCCTTGGTTCCAAGCAAACTGTCTTCCCCACCACCTACCAGCCACACACTGTACTAGCTGCTCCTGAATTCACGACATGCCCCTAATAATTCCTTGCATGAGACCCCTCACTCATAAATGCCCACTGAAACACTTGGCTGAACCATGTTTCGGCTCTGGTTGGCTGGCCAACTGCAGAATTCACCTGGGCTGTAGGACACAGCTTCAGCATGGAGCAGGAAGCTTCTTGGACAATGCTGTCCCCAGCAAAGCACCTATGCACTCTGGTCTTTCTCAGCAGACAAGCTGCCCCATGTTTCAGAGGAGCTCAACACTGGGCTGGATCGTGTTCCTGCTCTCCAGAACCATCTGGAGAAGATCTGTCTTGAGCAAGCCTGCAGCCTCTAACCAGGGTCCATGCAGGAGATACACCATAGGCCCAAGCTACATTGGACCAAACAAACTATGCATAGAGTAAAGTCTTGTGAGGAGAAACTGGGCAGAGCTCACTCACCTGGGTCTCCCTCATGTCTTTGGAGGCCAAGTGGATGATCCTCCTGACAAGGTTCCTATCTAGGCTCTTTATGTCCCCCTGCAAGACTTCCTGCAGGCTGGAGTAGATGGTTACTCTTGTCTCCTGGGAACACACCGAGAAAGAGAACAATGGGTTTCCTTTGGGGCCAGTGCCAGATCATGCAGGACTACGATGCTGGACATCAGTTACCCAGGGATTCTTCTACAGCCACGCTCAGGGGGACCTTGCTCCTGGACAGGAGCACAACCCAGGGTGTCTTGTGTTTGTCCTCTCATGCAGATGTTTACAGCTGGCACTAATAAGTGGGGAGTGTCAGGCACTGTGAGAGCACAAGGTAACAGACTGGCGGGAGACACAGAAAAGTGATCAGAAAAGCAGTCAGATGCATCACAGGCACTGTCACCCCAGTGCACTGGGGAGGTGGGAGTGACTTGCACTTCTTTCAGAGATGGGGACACCAGGGGAGTGACAAGGAGCTGTCGGGTGATCCTGAGCAGCAAATTTAGCAGGAGTTTGCCAGGCAAGATGCTGCCAAAAACCAGTGTGCGATGAGTTCTGTTACTGAATGAAGACGGGAGTTGAAATATTTGTGAACCAGGTTGCGCTAAGCCAGCCAAGCCATACTTGCATGACAACAAATCAGGCAGGGAAAGTTTGTTGCCCAGGCTCTCCAGACAGAGGCTCAGCACCCTTGGCTGTATTCCCAGTTCTTTTCCTGACTTGCTGGGGGACAGTGGGCAAGTCACTTCACTTCCTGGGCTGAGGCTTTCCAGTCTCACAAGGCTGCTGGGAAACTAGATTTCATATCTCAGTGCTGTGAGATACTTGGAGGAAGACACTAAGGAGGCTCACAGCATTATCTGTAGGGTGAGGGCTTGTTTGAATGTGGCTTATACCATATCTATCATCCACTGGGGAGGGGGAGATGATGCCCATGTGAGCGTGCCCTGATATCATCGTGACATCACAATATAACAAGGGCATGTTGTATTGTGACCTTTAATAGGAGAGCAGGAATGGAAAAGACACAGCAGATGGAAAAAGACTTGTTTTACTTGGGGTCCCATGCTGCACAGCTTGGAAGAAAATGCTTAGAGCAGCCGTGTGATACAGAGCCATTTCCCTACCTCCTCCTGTTGGAGTCTCTCCAGCAGAAGGCTCACAGTAATGTCAAGGTCCACGTCTGCCTGGCCAGACTCTGGGCCAAGATTGCCCTGAGCTTGATCCACCAGGCATCTCGCTGCAGAGGGCTCACTGGTGGAAAAACCTGAAATGGAGGAAAAGGATTCTGTTGATTCCCGTTGTTCTCGTTCATCACCACCCACGAGCAGCTCTGCTGGAGCCAAACCCTGTAGCCTGGCTCCAAAGGAAAGGTTTCCTAGCACAGCAACAAGGGGAGAGCTCTCCAGGCCACCCTTCTGGGCTGAGGCAGCTGGTACTGCTAAAGAGGCACTTTTCTTAGTGCAATTTAGTTCTGCCAAAAATCCCGTCTTTGCCAAAAGGGCGGAGATGATGCTCTGGTGTTAGCCAGCATCAGAAGCTAAAAACCTACAATCATCAGTCCCGTGCGCAATGGCCACAGCTGTACCAGCCAAAGAGGCAAGAGTGGAC